GTGTGTGTGTGTGTTTACACTCTGCTGACACTCAAAGAAGCAGTCAGGTTGTGTGTTTTATGACTGTCTCTTTTATTTGGTGAAACATGGCTTACTGTGTTTCACCGATGGAGCGTTGCGGCTGCAGGTCACATGACCAGGCAGGTCTTAGCAAACGTCTTCTAACCGGAGCGCTCGATTCCTCTGCTCGTGTTTGAACTCGCGCTGAAACTGCAGGTTTTTGGATCTAAAGCAGGTTGTGAGCGTGAAAAGTTTCCCACTCCTGGGTTTGTGTTGATGGGTGCCAGCTTCTGCACGTGCTCAGTAGTGGTTTAGTTTTAAAATTGTAATACCACAGGCGACCACCAGGGGAAATTAGTCTCCAGGCTAGGAGCCGCCTTCAAGGTTAATTAATGCATCCACAGTCTGAAGCTTCGAGCTGCAGCGATTTCCAGATAAGGAGTTTTTTCCTTTAATCATCCTGACGCACACCTGATCAGAAATCAGCTGACGGGACAGAAGTCAACCCCACAGACTGTATACAAACGATGCGTGTGCTCACACGTTGGTTTCTGCACTGTGTCGGCATCTTGATGCAGTCCTGCTGTAAAGCTGGATTTTAACAGGCCGGTGTATAAGACCTGACTCACTGCTGGAGCCTCTAGTGGACGTCAGAGGAACTGCAGGTTTGAGTGAAACTTGGCGAACTGCTGATCTACAGATAGATCTGAGGTTATTTATCATACACCTGAATTCAGTGAAAGCGTGACGATGCTTTAAAATGAGTGAAGAGCTTCTTCTGGTTGGTGCTTTGTGGACGGAGAGCCAAATGTCTCGGATTAGTCTAATGCACAGCGATGCTTCCAGCTGAGCGTCGCTGTTGGTTTGTGACCAGCCTTGATCAGGATGGCAGATGATGAAGCTCGTGCATCGCTCAGTGTTTAACCTTCAGTCTCAGCTTTAATAAAAGCAGCTTTTTAATCACGAGGCCGACAATGATGGAATCTAACGGTCAGAGCGTTTAATTCAGCATCATGATGTCACAGCATCACTGCTGATCTCAGGCCGGTAATCCGGGTTTACGTAACTCATCTGACACAGTGGGAGGATTACACACACACACACACACACACACACACACACACACACACACACACACACACACACACACACACAGGTTTCCATCACATTGATTAGTTTCCTGCTGGTTTAACCTGGACGTCTGCACAAGAAACCGTGATGATTCACTTCACGCTGTTGCTTTTGTTGCTCTCAGTGTGACTCTGCAGAAAGAGCTGCGTCGTCACTGCATCAGCAGAGAAAGTGCACAAACACACTCAGTGAATTCGAAGTGACCCCTGATCTCATGCAGAGCAGTGAACGCTTACACAACACGCTGTGGTCTGCAGATGCTCCACGGACGGGTCTCCATCTCATGATCCAATCAGAGGAAACTTTGGTGTCATATCCGTGTATGTGTGTGTGTGTGTG